TTTTTTTTTTTAATCAAAAGACAATTTGCAAAGATCTGTTATTTTTTTTTTTTTTTTATGTACTTGAAATAGACAATAATAGTGGAAAATGTTGAAACAATTGTACAATCATGTGAACAATTGTTCAAACGATCTGTGGTTTGTAAAACTCATCGAGAGATACATACTTTTTATTTATAGCTTTTGCAATAACAAAGATACGTATTATGAGATTTTATTTTATAACATGAGCCAATTATTTTGAATTTTATCGCTTCAGAGTTAATATTTATATTCGTTGTAGTATTTACATTGTATAATATATTATTTAGGAGGGAAGAGTAGAAATAATTTGACGATTGTAAACAGTCTTATCTTTAATTGAATATCAAGAGAAAAAGGTTACTTTATAAAATTATCAATATTTATAGTTGAAACTTAAAATCTACAAAATTCGAAAAAAAGTAGATTTTATGAAATACTTTATGAAATAAAATTTACCTTATACTAAAATTATATTACAATTAATTTATCTTTTCCTTATTTATGTTGATAGAAAAAACAACTCCAACCTTTACAATATACACTTTTCAAAAATTTATCAAAATGAAAAGTATAAAAATATATAAAAGCTTTAAAAATTATAATTTTACAATAAAAACAATAATCTATATTTACCAGTCATTGTGAAAAATAATAAAGTTGAGATAAGATTATAAAATATATCGTGTGATTATTAATAATTATTTTCGTCATCATGGAGATACAAATTGGGATACAACTTTTTCCTCTGCTTTTCGTTCAAAACCATTAACTCCATGATACTTGGCCCATCCTCGTTTAAAAGTGCATCCCAATTAATTTTATCATTATTCCCACCTCTTAAATTATCGTCTGGATCTTTGTAATTGTATTCGTTACTTTTATTCGATGCACTGTTCATCAAAAGACGTCCTAAAACGTCCGCTTTTTTCCGCAGTTTCGTCGCTACGCTCCTCTTCACCTTATAATAATTGTCGTGCGTTTCCTTTTTAACCAAGCGGGACAATATTTTTCCCACTTTCGTGGAATCGAACGGCACGAAAGACGTAGAAATATCTCGACGGCATAATCGTGAATCCAAATCGTCCCCGCGTAGAATCACGTTTTTATTTTTATATCGTTTATCTTTCTCTTTCTTATTCCCACTTCCTTCGTCATTCAACGTCATAAAATTGTCGTTAGACTTTTCCAACGCGGGAGAAAGTGTCGTTAATTCCGGCAAGTTGAAGATATAATTATTTATCGATAGATATACTTCTAGAAAGATAAATATTATTAATACGAGAATTTCCATAGTATATATATATATATATATATATAATTAAAT